GTCTTGGCAAGGGGCTGCATGAGAGCCATGGTTGGCAATCAGGAGAGCAAGTTGTTTGCCTGCAGGCTGGGGCATGAAGAGATGAGAGTCACATTTTACCATGTCATCTTGGGACCAGCTGAAGGGGCTGGAGGTGAGTGCATGGGGGATGAAATATGTCTTTCTCCTGCCTGGGGCCCCAAGTTTTATTCATTACCTGGAGTCTTGCGTGCAGTGGGAAGCCTGGTCTCCTGCACAGAGGAGCAGGCAGAGGGAGAAAGAGCCAAAAGCTGCGAGGTATGATGGACATCAATCCCAGCTGCTCTGGCTTAGAGTTTGGCTTTGCAAAATGAATTAAGTGGCAAGGCACAGAGGAGGTATTTCGAAGCCAGCTCGGAAGGGAAAGGAAGGTTTTGAGGACAGTCATTGCCACTTGGAGAGGCTTTGGAGCAGTTTCTAAATACAGCTTTTCATGCCTTCATTAAAATGTTGAAGTGAAAGCCCCAGAGAGCTGGTGGTGCTGGCAGGGAGGGCTCCTGAGCAAGGCCACCCTGTGCTTCTGACGTGGAGGTCTGGCTGAGAGAACAGCGAAGGTGAGCCCATCTAGCCTGGTCCTGAAGCACACCTGCTACAGGAGAGTCCTTCCCTGCATCCTTCTCCTAATCTGTGCTGACTCTTGGACCACCGGATGGGAGGTTTTAGCCTTAGGAAAGGTTTGGGGTTTTTTTTACATGTTTTATTTTCTCTTCCTGTGTTCTTGCCTCCATGGGCTGAGGTTGAAGAGAGATAAGGACTCCAGAGGAACCAAAGGACCCTGCCAAATGCCACTAGCACGGGGGGAACTTGGAGAGCACAGCAAAGGAGGCGTGTGGTTTCACAAGGGAATAGCACTGAGGCTTGGCTCCCCTCTGCACCTCCCCAGAAGGACCCTGCAGCTCCGCTTCACTATCAGCACGGGAGCTTGGATGCTATTAGGCAGTTCATTAGTAAAACCTCAGAGCAGTTCCCACTGCTGTTGAATACCCATTAATTCCTCTTGAGGGGAGGGGAAAACATTGGAAAAGCACAAAAACAATCCGAGGGTCCTTGATCTCTTTTTGGTCTGAGAGGTGATGGGCTGAGGTTGGAGGGGCAGCTGGGAGGGGAAGAGGGGCCAGGCAGGGATGCCAGGCATGAAAGCAGCACTGCGATTATCTGTTGAAGTCTGAGTGCAAAAACATAACCTGACTTGAACTGTTGCTTCTCAGAGGCTCCCGAGGGGTGCTTTAGGGCTATAAACACCTACTCACCAACTCACTTTGTGCACATCCTGAGCCAGGTATTCCCACAGCAGAGGGAAAGCCAGCAAAACCTGCGCAGATGTTCCTAACAGCTGCAGCTGGGCTGCGGTAAACCACCCCTGCTGCTACAGTTTATTAGCACTGCAGGGTCTGTCCCCTTCTCCTTGTTTGCTTGTGTGTACAGTCAGCTGTTAAAGGACACTGACATCAGTTAATTAATGGTATAATTGAATCTCACAAAGGGATCGAAACTGGCTGCCTGACTCTTGTCACTGAGATGCCCACAGAAATAGTAAATCACCAATTCAGCAGATAAAGCTGTAGCTCTAGGTAGAAAGTCCTTGTCGCTGAGGATAGGGAAACAATTCCTTTTTGCAGAATAATACACTGTTAGGGAGAAGGCTTGGGACTATTTTTCTAAGCCACTGGGGGCCATCCCCGTCCAAGAAAAGGAGTTAAACTAACTCCCCAAGGTGGTATGACACTCATTAAGGGCTAAACAAACCTGAGGCAGCATTTTATCTGTAAGTCAGAACACTGTTTTGTGTTTCACCCCCTACATGATGGAGAAAAAGGTCCATGTGGTGTTTTAAAACAGAGGGCAAAACCCCAGAAAGGCCAGAGTTGAACCATGATGAAGCTTTGCGGTCAGTAGCAGCTTCTGAGCTTGCTCAGATCACAGAAAAAGATCTAGAGAGATGTTTGAGACTAGGGAATCCAAAGTTAGGAGAGAGTGGAGAGAAAACTCCTCCCAAAGCAATAGGGAAGCCTGAAGGGAGAGGATGCAACCCTAATGTGGGTGCTAATGCTGTGGCTGTGCCACTGACAAGTGAAGTAATTGCTGCTCAGGAGGAATGTGAGCCAGTAAAAAACAGTATTCCACCCAGGTGCCAAGAAAAGCAATTAGAACTGGTAAACACCAGTGGCTGGCTAAAACCAGGCCCTTAATTAATAGTTTCATCTGAAGGGTAAGGAAATCATTAAGTGCTATTGATGTCTATTAATTCTCTGCAAGACGAACAACAATGGAGAATTTTAAGACTTCTTTCACCGTCCAGCGCGTGCAGGAAGGAGCCGCTGAGCCCTTGCACAAGGTGGGAGAACTTGCTTTGTGTGGCTGCGCTCTCCCACGTCACCGACGGCCGCCCCAGGGGCCCGGGGTGTGCTGCAGAATGAACAGCTCAGACTGGGCATTTAGGTCGGACATGGCTTTGGGGGTGCTCCATCAGGGAAGGAGAGAAGGTGGGTGCAAAATGTGGCTTCAACAAAAAGCTGTGCAACTGAGGTGCTGTGCCAGAGAGCGCAGGGAGGGTACATGGAGCTGGGGGTTTGAAAGATAAATATTGCAGGATACCGTGCATATCCAGCCACTGAACATAGGGAACAGTGTTAGCTGCTTCAGCTCAGAGTGCTATATAAGTGTCAGTTGGAGGGAGAAGCAGGGATAGAACTAGGCAGGGCAGACAGGGAGGTAAAACTTCCCACTGTGTAAGCAGTGGTTGTATATTGGGAGACTCCATGAAATGTTCACAAGCGCTCAGAAATCAAGCGTCTTGAGGAGTGGCCTTTACAAAGGGCACAGCCTTGATTCTAAGTCTGGAGAAGACAAAGATTTATTCTCGTTGCTTTCTGACTCTCCAGTCATCCACCTACTCTTCCCTGAATTTCAGAAGGACCGCAAATTTCTTCCCAATCTTATTTTTCAGTTTATTCCATCGTCTTTATCTGACGTGGGAACTTCTGCTGCATTGATGGAATGAGCAGCTTGTGGTAGAGAAGGGTCGTGTTTGGTTTTGTCAGTGTGTTAGACAGTACACCAGTGACAAGCCCACCAGCATGGACTGGTGCTCCTCCCTTCTTGGCGCTGGTCACCGTGCTTGGCAGAGGAACCTGTCCAGCCCTGCTGTAAGGCACATCAGCGTTCACATATTTCCCTTCCCCAGCTAGCTGCCCGGATACTCAGAGTTAATCGTTGCAGTTTAAAACTGACCTGGTATCTCCTCCTTAAAAAATGCAATATGAAGTCACTAGAAGCTCAGATGTATTTCTGGAGTGAGGGGGAAGCTCTTCTAGTGTGTCAACATCTATGGAAGAGCCTCTCTTCCTCACTGTCAAATCTGTGACAGCTCAAGGAACTTCCCTTTAAGATAACCTACCCTCTATTCAAATTCAGACAGTTGGAGTAAGGTAGGGGATTAATCTGAATCTTGTTTTCTTCTCTCTGTCAAATGAAACTCAACAGGCTCTTCTAAGCAGACTGATTTCTTTCAAAACCTGCCGTGTGCCATTCAGCCCCATGAAGGAGGTTCACTGCCTTGTTGCCATGGTACCCTTTCTCTAAAGAGGAAGAGAATAGTTAATTATGCAATTTAAAAAACTAAGGAGGAATGACAGAAAGAGAAATAATAGCAAGGAAGATTCTGGGTTTGTGATAGAACTGCTGGCTGCACCAAAACATGCTTTGTTTACAGCTGAAATGTTTGCCCAGCACATGCTGCACATGGCCAGGGCTTCTCTGGCAGTGTGGATTTCAAGGAGCTGCCCTTTGCTAGGCAGCGTGCTTCTGCCATCCAGGAAATCAATCCTGTAGTCAGTTACTGCTGTTACCTTCCCTGGTTAATGTTCCAGAGAGCCTAAGACATATTTGCTTGGCAGAAATTCTCTCTAGATGGAGCTGGAACAGCGATAATACATCACACACCCACGACGAGCTCACGCTGCCTGTGGATATACTGAGGTACAGTTCAAGACTTGAGCATTTTAAATCTCCTTGACAGCATTTCATTGTTCCTCAGGCTTCCTAACCCCCTGCTTGCTCTACCCAAGACCCCAGAAAATCCAGTTCGTGGTGCAGAAGGTGGGACCAAAGAGACTACAAGCATCAAAACTGGCAAGATCCCAGCCCCTTTAGAACCGGCATCTTCCATTTGCCAATAGCCCTGGCAGAGCAGCTACAGCTTGGGTGAAACAAAGCACCACAACAGATCTTTGCCAAAAACGGATCCAGGCTCCACGCGGTGCGGACAGGGAGAGTTGCCTCTTGCACATCACACTGAGCTCTGCTAGCCAGGGGGAAGGGA